ATACTGACTGCTCCTCCAGTGAATCCAAGTTCAAATCCCAGCACCCACATGGAGGCTCACAACCCTTTGTCAGTCCAGTTCCAGCAAATCCAATATGCTCTTCTGACCTCTGCTGGCACCATACACATATGATGTCCACACAAAAATAAAAATAAATCTAAAATAATTTTAAGAGACACACTGTTTTAAGGACAGTTGAGGCTAGCTTATGGTCAGAACAAATCGATTGGAAAGTATTTAAAAACATTAACAATAATGGGGAGGAAATAACTTTATCATAGTATTATAAGAATAAATAAAAAATTACATTAATATAAGACAATTTTAAATTCTAGAGCATTGTTTAAGACACTGGCTTATTGGTTGGTATTAAATGTATACTGACTACAAAGATTTTTTTTATTGTAAAAAATTCAATATACTAAATATTAACTTAATTTTTTTATAGGGAACATTATTGCAGCAGCCAGGTGACCGTGCTCCTACTACGTCACTTTCTTGGAAACGTGTGAAAGGATGTAAATCTAGTGAACAGAATGGGATGGAGCAAAAGACAATTATTTTAATACCCTCTGGTTAGTTTATTCTTTGTTCTTAACCAGCATAAGGAAGAGCTTAAATATGAAATGATTTTAAGAGTTTGTCCCCAAGTGATAGTGATTCCACTTCCTTAGGAAGAGTAAAAATTGGCCAGGTGGTGGTGGCACACCAGTAAGGTCTGCAAATACAAACTGAGACCCTGTCTCAAAATGAAAGAGAGAGGGAGCACAGAAAGGAGGGAAGGGGAAGGGAAAAGGAAGAGAAAGAAAGATGAAGTAAGCATTTTGTCTGCTGGCCACATTTGAAATTCAGGGATTGGGCATTTCAGATCAGACTTCATATAATCATTCTGACAGCAGAAATAAACTTGATTACACTTATTTGCATAGTGAAGGGTTTGCCCCATAGGCTAAAAACCTTTCCAGAAATTTGTTTTATTTTACCCAATACCTACTACACAATATCAATTTAATGATATCTTTTTGTTTTTCAGACTTAGCATGTAGACTGCTGGGGCAATCAATGGATGAGAGTGGATTACCACAACTGACCAGTTATGATTGTGAAGTTAATGCTCCCGTACAAGGCAGCAGAAACCTACTGCAGGGTGAAGAACTACTCAGAGCTCTAGATCAAGTTAACTGAGCTTTTTATAATCTCATTCCTTTTGATTGTTTTTTGTGTTCTTTTTTTTCAGTTATTGTTATTATTGTTTGTTTGGGATTTTGTTTCTGTTGGTTATTTTTGGACACTGGTGGCTCAGCAGTCTATTTATATTTTCTATATCTAAGTTTAGAAGCCTGGCTACAATACTGCACAAACTCAAAATAGTTTAGTTTTGATCCCCTTTCTACTTAATTTTCATTAATGCCCTTTTTAGTATGTTCTTTTAATGCCAGATCACAGCGCGTTCACATCTCCGCAGTATTTCCACCATTGCATTGCAGTAGTCATTTAAAATGCACCTTTTATTTATTTATTTTTGGTGAGGGAGTTTGTCCCTTATTGAATTGTTTTTAATGAAATGCCAATATAACTTTTTAAAAAGGCAGTAACTCTTCATCATGATCATAGGCAGTTGAAAATTTTTTACTCATTTTTTTCATGTTTTACATGAAAATAATGCTTTGTCAGCAGTATATGGTAGCCACAATTGCACAATATATTTTCTTAAAAATACCAGCAGTTAATCATGCAATATATTCTGCATTTATAAAACTAGTTTTTAAGAAGAAATTTTTTTTGGCCTATGAAATTGCTAAGCCTGGATCATGACACTGTTGATCTTGTAATGATTCTTAAACTGTATGGTTTCTTTATATGGGTAAAGCCATTTACATGATATAGAGAGATATGCATATATCCGGAAGGTATGTGGCATTTATTTGGATAAAATTCTCAATTCAGAGAAATTATCTGATGTTTCTTTAGTTACTTTACCAGCTCAAAAGAAAACAGTTCCCTATGTAGTTGTGGAAGCTTATGCTGATATTGTGTAATAATATTAAACATAAATGTTCTGCCCACCCTATTGGTGTAAAGACATTTTGAGTATACTGTAAACAACAAAAAAATCATGAATTGTTAGTAAAATTGCCTAGTCTGTTAATTTGTTCAAAATATGATGTTTGGTTTTATGCACTTTGTCGCTATTAACATCTTTTTTTTCATATAGATTTCAATAATTGAGTGATTTTTTTTAGAAGCATTATTTTAGGAATATAGAGTTGTTATAGCAAACATCTTGTTTTTTTCTATGTACATTGTATAAATTTTCCATTCCCTTGTTCTTTGTGGTTGGGTCTAACACTAACTGTATTGTTTTGTTACATCAAATAAACATCCTTTGTGGACCAGGCCCCCTTGGGTCAGCTTTTGTGTTTAAATTAACATTTGTTTCAACACTTCCAGCTCATTTCTCAAAAGTTTAAGTTCTTTATAAAAATTACATTGTGCATTTCTCCATTCATTATTGCCATTATATAATGTATGATGTATTCCCGAATGTCATGTTAAATAATGACAAATCATAATATTGCACTGTAAAGAGAAATTTTTTAGAAGTTTGCCATTAAATTTATAGAGTCTATTAAAATATAAAACAGAACTTCAGTATTTTCAGTATGAATGGAATAATCAAGCAAACCACAAAACATCATAATCATACACTGTTGGAAGGGTCTCCGGTCCTCTGCGTGTCTAACCTGTTCCCATCAGCAGACAAAGCTAGAGCTGAAATACGACTATTTCCCAACCTAAGTGGCAGGTCAAAGAATCTTACATCATAGGACATTATCTTGGTGGGTTTGGTTTCAATGATAGGGGTACAGGACACATTAATATGCAGGTGTGTTTTACAGATAATCGTACATTACCTGACTTTTCTTTTCCAGGTCAAAAAACAGTATCCTGATCCTGTAATTGTGAATTTTAGAAACTTCCAAATAAACACCACATATCCTCCAGCTATATGCTTATCTTTCTATAATCATGCATCACTTTTAGTATTCTAAAAACATTTTTAAGTAGCTTTATTTTCCCCCTGTGTTTTCTTTTATAGTAGAGCTGTTTTGCTTTCACATTCTAAGTTTTAAAAGATCAGAAAGTCTAGAGAGGTCTAAACATAAGGAATGATGGGATCTGGGACTGCTGGTGCTCTCCTGTAATCCACCACTTAGAGGCAGAGGCAGAAGAATCAGGTGAGTTCTAGGCCAGTGTGGGCTACATGAGAACGTCTGTCGGTCAAACCTGGGGCGTCACATGCATACCAAGCAAATGCGATATAGCACTGAACTACTACAAGCCCAGAAACATAGCCTCGCTGACACTTACATAACCAGTGGGGAACCTTGTCCTCTAGCCTGTGTATAAATCCTAACCAAAGTGAGCTGTCTTTATCTTAGGATGAACCTGTGATTGCAAATAACAATTTTAACACTTTAGTAAAACTGTTCCAAAATTGGGGCACAGCACAATGTGCTTCCACACTTAATTACAGACAGCGATAGAGGTGACATTTTAGAATAAAGTGATTGCTTTAATATTCCCAGTTCACAAGATTTTAAAAATGTTTAACAAATTAATTTAATTTGAAAACTTGAAATTTATGTACAGTTTTCAAATATTTGTAAATTTGTCAATTAATATATAATAGAAATCAGGAAATGACTTGTGAGCAGTGGTCAGAAGGGAGCTGAAGGGAAAATTTAGTACTGACATGTGATTTCTCAGAAAAGACTCCAGATAGTCTGCCACTCCGTCCCAGCTTTGCCCACCATCTTGAATTCCTTTACACTGCCTTTAGAACCCTGCTGTAGCATCCTGAGCATTGCTCTTTCTCAAGGAGACCTAAGCCGCTTCCGCCGCCCCATTCTCCGGTGCTGCTGTGAATCCATGGCTGGTATTACTTTTCCCTGACGAAAGTATAGCAAAGGGAATTGACATATTCTGTTCGTTTGTTCAGTGCCTGTTAGGCCTAGCAACTGAAAATGGTCACTATTACCATAGCTAACTAACTGTTGCTAAAATGCTTTGCAAAGTCTGCGTCTAAATGACCCTAATGTCTGTTAGATACCACATGCTAGACTTAATGCTAGCATTTTGCACGTTAATTCACAACCTCTCTGGATTATGCTTGTTTCTCATTTTATACATTAGAGATTTTGGCCATCAGTAACCCGGCGCCTACAGTCCTAACCACCAGTCCGTGGAACATACTGGTTTCCCATTGCTGAATGTTTAAAATTAGCACACAGGAAAACACAATGAGAGTGGAAAATGGAGGTTGGATGTCACTTGAGAAGAGCTGAAGTGGCGTGTCCAAAGAGGGGTGACAAGAAACAAATGAACAACGTGTTCTTAAAGCTACTACTGGGTTTTGAGCTTGAACTAAAACTTAAGTTCTCTCAATACAGGAGACACTGACGTGATTCGATGTGTAACGAATGACAAAGCACTTTACATATAAAAGGCTTATTAAAAATGCATGTGGCTTTCACAGAGCTGTTGGAATTAATGGCATAAAAGACGTGGTTAAAACCTCGTAATTACCATTCCGAATCCTAGCTTCCTCCTCCAAGCTTCGATAAGAGGTTTTAAAAGTTCAAAGTTCTAAACTCGTGTCAAGCAAGAGTTGGGGAGAGGGGAGGGCCTTTGCCTTAAAGTTTACTTCAATAAAACCACAAACATAAACATGTTGCTGGCTGGAATCAACAAAAAAGTAAAAGTAAAAAACCTATGGCAGTGTTTCAAGTCTGCCCCCTGACCATTTTGCTCTTGTTTCTTCCCTTTATATAGCATTGAACCTGTTATCCAGTAGGAGTTCGAGCAATTTGTAGAATATGATTCCACATAGTGTCCTGTCCGATAAAAGCGACATCTCACCACACCCGCTCCTCTAAAAGCCTTCTGGAGCTTTGTGTTCACACCCTTCAGGGGTTTGGGAATAATTTAATTCTTACCTGTCATGGGTGGATTTTATCCAAGACGCTGCTCAGACACCCGATCTCCGCTTACTATGTAATTTCCTTTATTCCGTTTTGGCTGCAATCCGGAAAGCAGAGAAAGGCAGGTGCCTGAGAGCAGCGCAGCCTGACCCTAGCTGGCAGGCGGGGAGCCTGGTACTGCTGCACCGGGCGGGCGAGCTCGGTGCTACCTGCTGCGGATGGAAAGGCGGCCTCGGTCGCGCTGGCCCCGCCCCTGTACGTGCCTGGGCGCAGCGCCCCGCTGCAGCCGGCCGGTGTGCGGGGCGCGGGACCGCCCGCGGCTCCCGCCTACGTGTACGAGCGCATGTGCGAGGTTGGTGGGGGCAGCCGCGCCTAGGTCCCCACGCAGCCTGCGGCGACCGATATTTCAGGGCGATTTGGGATGGGGCCTAGGCTGTCCCTATCAAGTGCTTTCGGCTGCCAGCTGTCCTTTGAAGGACAGAAATTTCCGATGCCTCTGAACATGTTGGATCATCGCAGTTTTTAATGAGTCTTTATCTAATCTAGCCAAAAATGAAAAATTCTAGCGGGCACGAATCCCAGCCCCTCCAGAGGCTGAGGCCAGCCTGGGCTACCAAGAGAGATGAGTTGCTTAAACATCCCCCTGCCCCAGCCCTTTAAGCTTATTTTGAATAAATCGCACTGGGATATCTGATTAAGTCAACGAAAACTCAAGCTGCCCCACGTGGTATGTTTTGTTTGGTTGAATTTTTAAATTTGGTTTGGTTCCCCCCCCCTTCTGTTTTGCTTATGCTAATCATTGAGAATCTGTTAGATAGACCGAGAAGAGTTTACAAATTATGGAAGCACTTGGGGCCTTAAATTTAATCTCTTGTAATCCTAGCGTTTGTAGTTTGCTGGGAAGTGAGCTCGCTCAGGCTCTGCTTAGCCATTGCTCCCGATGCTTTGCATTTTCTTTCCTTTAGGGTTGCTCGTGTGTCTTCACTGGACGTAAGGGTCCAGTTTTTTAAAGACGTGGCTGAGGTGTTGTAAATACTTTGCTAATGAAAACTGATCTGCAGCATGCGTTTATCAGCAGAGGTAGGCGCCATTTAAAGAGAACCTTTTGGGTTTTTAGATGTTTAAATCTTAAAGTGGCTATTGTCTACTGAAATATTTATCACAAAGTCATGATATTTTGAAAGCTGAACAATATATATTATTGCATCTATATCAATACATATATACGTGTGTCTGTGTATACATGCACCTGTATCTTGTTCATATATATGAATTTTATATACATCCTGACAAGAAGGCTAGAATTCTGTGAAGTCAAATTTATGTTTAGAAGTCTTTGAATTAAGCAAGTTAATTTGCGCTGCTTTGTACAAGGAGCCTTTCCAAATGCTTTTTGTTGTTGTTGTTGTTTAACGGATTTTCCAACGGTTCTGTATGCAGCAGTACCACAAAATCTTTCACAGGAATGCAAACCGTGTGGTGAGCAGTGTGAACTGGCCCGACTCCTAATCTGCCCCAGAACCTTTCAAATGAAGTCAGTCCCTGTAACCTACAGAGAGGGCTTCACAGCATGGGCCGGTGCCACTCTGCATATACCTGTCACCTGGGCGGACATCTGTGTCCTTCCTCTTTAACTCCCTTCCCCCACAGCCCCCCTCCACCCCCACCCCTGTCTCTCTCATCTCCTAAGAGGATTTTTGGACATTACCAGTCCCCCCCCCTCACCCCTTCAACTCTGAGTTCTTGATTGTCTCACTGTCCTTCTACTTGGAATACACGAGGGGCAACACGTGATTGAAGGGGGTGGAGTGGGGATGGGGTTTCTTATGTAAGGAGAGAACCAGAAAGAATTCCAGTCCTAGGAACAAAGTAGCGAGAACGAGGCTATTTTCTAGCTCATTTCATGCACTGACTGGCTGTACAAGAACATGATCTCAAACTGTGGTGCCTGCTGTCAGGGTCCTTAATTCCCTGGATGAGGTACATTCTGCTATCATTTATATAGAGATGGTGGAGCACCAGCCCACAAGGGACGGAGGCGGATCACCCCAGACCTCTGCGGGTACCCTGGCTGTCAGGAGCCATTTCCCCACTAACAATCATTACAGAGACCATCACTCTAGGGAGTCTGCAGAGAACCTCACACCCATAGTTATGTTCTATTGACAAAACCTGCCCCTCACCCAATTAACTGCTAATCTTAGCGGAACCCGCCTCACATTCCAGCTATCCAGGGAACCAGGTGTGGCCACTTGTGACTTCTGGCCTGTCTGTCTGAATGTAACCGAGCTACGTGACCGGAACCACGCGGCCTGCGAGATCCCGTACCCTGCCCCTCATCCCTTACCATATATAAACTGTAACCCGTCCCTAATAAACTGAGGCCTTGACAAAGTTGCTTGGCCTCGTTCTTCTGTCTTAGCTCACTCCCTTCCAGGTAGCGCCCCTCCGAGACCCTGGAATAACTGGATTGCCGGGTGGGTTACAACCCCTAGACTGAGTAGCCCACCCAACGCAATCCACAGTGGCGCCCGAACCAGTGACTCGGAGTACGGTCAGCTATCGGACGACACGCGCAGTCCCGGGACAACAACAAGAAGAAAAATGAAGGTTCTGCGGCTGTAGTACTCGGACAGATGGCAGAACGGGAGGTAGGCGCAGGTTCACGTCGTCCCACAAGGGGTGAGACAATCACTTTCAAAGGAAGAGAAATTCATACAGGAATTTAAGCATTCACTCAGGGACAGAGGAGTAAGAGTCAAAAACAGAGATTTATGTGTTTGCTTTATGTATATGTCTTTAACTCCCTGCCACATGGAGCAAAAGCTGACAGGCAGGTTTGCTATAAAGGAGTCTAGACTCAAAAAGCTGCAGCTGCATGTAAATATGCTTCTTTTCCATTTCAAAAATCTTGCTTCTTGGTCAAAAATCTTTAGTTTGTAGGTGTAAAAGTTTATATCTAAGGTAGATTAAGTTCAGTACTGTGTTTCTGTAGAAAAAGTTTTAAGGTCAAAGATTGTGATGCATTCAGAGGATTTTTAGAATTGTTTAGGCTATCTGAGTTTTTATTTCTTTATTATAAGGTTGGGGATTGTTCTTTTGAGTTCTGTATTGTTCTTTTGAGTTCTGTGAAAAGTTTTGCTATAATTTTAATGAACATTACATAAAGTCTGTATGTGAGTTCTGTGAGAAATGTTGCTATAATTTTTAATGGACATTTACACTGAATCCGTAGACTGCTTTCAGTGAAATTGTCATTTTTGCTGTGTTTCTTCTGCTTTCGCAAGAAAGTAGGGGATCTTTCAAGATTTAAAATTCTTATCCGACAATTTTCGTTTGTACGGCCCGCTCTTGGGTGGGAATCATAATGTTTCAGCTTGAGGTTCTTTCCTGCTGCCAGGTGTTGCTTCAGGCCTCTCACTAAATTTATCAAGGGCCAGAGTTATACTCTTAGCAAGTGATAATGGTTAAAAGTAAAAAACATTTCCGCCTTCACAGGCAGAGATGACAGGACCCAAAAACTTTTGTCCTGCTTGCTTAAAGTCACTCCTAGATATTTTGTGGTATTCATGGATATTTAAAAGGATGATGTCTCATTTATCCTAGGTGTAAAAGAGATACCTTTGGGTTATTTTTAGATTCTGGCTATGATAAAGTTCTGCTCTGGGCATGGCAGAGCACGTGTCCTTGTGGTATGGTTAAACAACCTTATATTTAGGCCCAAAAGGGCTACTGCTAAGTTTTGAGGTAGATATCTGCCTAATTTTACATAATGGAGGTCCCTCAGTGCTGGGGAGACTCTCACTCAGGTCTTGGGAGGGCGCGGCCCCCTCATGGCTCACCAAAGACCGTCCTTGCTGAGGTCGCTTACACGTGGCCTTGGTTGGTGGGGGAGGAGTTCGACCCCCAGTGACCGGAAAAAAGAATTTTTAAGAAGACCACAGCCCGGTGGTCCAGAAAGGTCATAAAAATTTCAAAAACCTACGGAGGCTCCCTGCCTCTCGGGACCACTCCCAGGGTCATAATCAGCTAGTTCCTAAAACAGTACTGTGATAATTGCAGCTGGAAAACTAGTTTTTCAGGATTGCAGTTTCTCGGGGATTGCTATCAGGATTGCAGTCTTCAGTCAGTTCCTGGTGCAGGGTTGCTGAACAGGCTAACCCTGGATTTTTGATTCTCCTCTTCCTGCTGGGGGGGCTGGAGAGATGGCTCAGTGGTTAAGAGCATTGCCTGCTCTTCCAAAGGTCCTGAGTTCAATTCCCGGCAACGTGGTGGCTCACAACCATCTGGAATGAGGTCTGGTGCCCTCACAGGCTAGTCCTGGATTTTTGATTTTTCTCTTCCTGCTGGGAGAGTCTGGATTTCTCCAGGTTTTTCAGTGCTGTATGTGATTCAGGGAGGGCTGTGCAGTATGTACTTCCAACACTGCTCCCAGCGCCGCAGCTGCCGCCACGGGCTGCAGCTCACTTCCAGCGAGTTTTTTTCCTACCCACGTTTTCTTAAGCATAGATTGTTAACAATAATTTTTAATCTTGGTCATTTTTACAAGGATAAGGTAAATCTCAGAGTTTTGATTTGCCTTTCTCTGACGGCTAAAGGATGTTATATTCAAACATTTTTTAGGTGTCTCTCAGTCATTTTTAAGTACGTTTGTTAAGAGTTTTTCAGTTTAGGTCTATAACAAATATTTTTATTGGATTAAATTTTTAATAACTAATTTCCTGAGTTCTTCACATATTTTTGGAATGGATTTATGATAAATAAAGATCTTTTCCCACTCCATAGCCTTGTTATACAAAAGGTTCTCAATTCAGGAGATCTAATTTATGGTTTCTCACAATGTTTGTGCCACTGAGGCTGTGTTTACGATGTGGCAAGGTGTGCTTCAAAAAATTTTTCTCTATAAGTTTCAACAAAATTTTTATATGCTGAAGCCTTTGGCTCATTTGGGCTTAAATTTTGTTCATGGAGATGGATATAGATCTATTTTCATTCTTCTACATGTTGGTGTCTAATGAGACCAGCATTACTAGTTAAAAAATGCTTCATTTTTCCATTTTCCTATCTGCAAGGCAGACTTGGAGCTTAAGAGGAGGATAGCTTACAAACTTTTGGATGTCCAATGGTTAAAGCCCTACTTATAATGTTCTTATGAGAGATATTGAGCTGCTAGGTAAAATTCTTACAAAAAACAGTTTCCAATAGAGAGCTTAAAACAAGTTGCCTAGCAGGTACTCAAACAGGTAAAGTATACAATAATCAACA